AACAATAATTGTTTTTCTTGCAATAATAGAATCAATAAGTAAATATTTATTGATTATTGCTGCTGGTTTTATTATCATTATCATCACAATCACTTTTCTTATCGACCTTTCTTATCTCATTCATAATTGTTTTGTTGTTTTTGTTATCGTTATCAGTGTCTTCATGAATATCATCATTATGGTGTTCATTATCATAACAGTCATCAGTTGCATACACATGAATATCTTCCTCATCTAATTATTACCTCCGATCCATATTATTATTACTATTCCGTTATTCAGGATTAAATCATTAACCGACAGCATCAATTACTTATTATCGGTGAATTATTAATCAATCATTATTATTATCTCGAATCCCATTATCAATCTACTCCGATTATGTTATCATCATTATCATTATTACTATTATATCTTATCTTATTAATTATTCATTATTGTTATTATTATTATTATTATTATTATTATTATTATTATTATTATTATTATTAATTATTATTATCATTAATTATTATTAATTATTATTATATTATCATTATTGTTATTTATTATTATTATTATTATTATTATTATTATTATTATTATTATTTTTATTATCATCATTATTATTACCATTATCATTATCATTATTATCATCATCATTGTAATCATTATCATCATTATTATTATTGCTGTTGTTGTTGTTGTTGCTGTCGTTGTTGTTACTATTATTGTTGTTTTGATTATTATTATTGTTATTATTATTAGTATCATCATTATTATTATTATTGTCATTATTATCATTATTATTATTATTTTTATCATCATTATAACATTATTATAACTACTTACTTATTACTAATACTATTTTAGTCATTATCATCAGTATTATCATTATCATTACTGCTACTATTATCATTATCATTATCATCAGCAGTATCATTACTTTTATCTTTATTATCTTCATTATTACCTTTATCATCATCATTATCGTGAATATTGTCATTACTATCATTATCACCATTACTAGTACCATTATAATTATCATTACTGCCATCACTATTATGATAATTGTTCTTGATATCATTATAAGCATTATTATTATAACCTTATCATCATATTGTAATTATTATCATTACTATTATTATCAATATAATTTATACATTATGATTATTATTATTATTCAATCATTATTATTACCATTATGATTATCAATCAATCATACGTTATTATACATTATCAAAATCGTCATCATCATTATACCATCATTTATTATATTATATATTAGTTCTGTCATTATCGCTATCATTATCATTATTATCATTATTATTATAATTTTGTTATCTTGATTATCGTTATTATTCTCAGTTACAGTTTCATTACTTGTGTTATGGCCATTGACATCATCAATATCATCATCATTATACAATTCCTACACCATCACATTTATCAACATCACTCGTTTTATTTCAGTTTCTGCCTCATTAACATGAGGACTTTACATGCTGACGAGGCTCTGGTTGACGTGAGGGGAATATCCTCACTTTACGTATTGAGACTTGGCTGGTGAGCATGCAGTATTTAGGACAATGACATGCGCAATTTCAGGCTACTACCTTAAATGTAGTTCATTGCAACAAATATAGGAGATTGGAGTGTTTCGATGTTATCTCTTATTCTGTTAAAGTTATCCATTATATTATGATACCTTTACTCGTTAAGCATTATTCAAAATATTATCCAACCGGCTGAAGAACCACCGACATCTTAACTTTTGATGACGTAATAGTCGACGCCCATACCGAACTAAGTAGGAAAGTAAATAGTGGAATATCAAGAAAGTCATATCAACGAAAAGAATCTACTGTTACCATTCACACCAAGATACCCAGTAAGGCATATCTCAACTTTCGGTCTCTCGAAACACTCTTTGTCCCAGCCGCCTATCGATGTACTTACGACCACCAAAGATATAGCATTTCCCCGGCCATTTTCAAAAGTCTCACAATCCCACGGAACACGAAAATAAGCAAAAAGCCGGTCTGACGTCGGTGGACGAAGAGCGAGAAGGAATTCCCCAGACGAGCTCAGTAGGAGTTTCCATCCTACTGTGTCTGTATGACTCACGGAAATGGAGGTTTATTAACATTGTGAGAACATCTCGGAACGCTATGCCAGATGAGAACGTTTTTCCCGTAACGTTTCGTAATAGATGGCATAGTTTTCGCTACGTGCGTGTGCTTTCGCGGTTGGAAGTTAAGCAAGTGCGGTAACAGAAGATAAGCTAATAAATGACACAGTAAAACCGTCGCGATAAAAAGCTACAAATAAAACACAAGGCTCCGTTGTCCGTCTGCCTTTCCGATGCATGGATACATTTTAGTTACATTTCTTTTTTCCAGCTTTATTCATTAAAATGAAAATAAATTAATCCAAATAAAGATACAAATTCTGCATTCACACTTTCCCATCTCTGCCCCCAGTAAGTGATTCCTCTTGAGTCAAAAAATGTTCATTCTCT